CGCCTTAGAAATAAATGGAAATTTTTAAGTCCCTATAATAAAAGGAGTTTTCTTCTTTGTCCTGTGAGAAATAAGAGAATTTTATCCCTCATGCCCATAATGTATTCGGCCAGGCCCACAAAGAGAATGGCAGGGAGGGTCTGACATGTTTTCTATTAGAGTAAAGATAACTGGCTGTCCGAAGACTTAGCCTGTGTATAGAAGAGGGGTTGAGGTAGGGAGAGGAAAGGTGTATTAGAAGATTGATTAATTGGCGGGTTGTGGGAGGGGTAGGAGTAAGATAGAATAGGAATAGAATAGGAATGGAATAGATTAGGATGAGTTAGTGGGGAGTTGGGATTTGATAGGTTTACAGATTGGAAGGATGTGGGTTCTCGTGGTTGCGTCGTGCCCTCATTTATTTTCTAATATAATACAAAGGTATACTTTATTTACAGTTAGCCATTTAGGCTTGGACGATTTCGATGATGGGACGCTATGAGTGCTCCCTAAAACTACAGAAAAATGCACCTACAGGGTGCTTAGAACATACGTTATTTCGTTCTTACATTTCATTTTACGCGAATTTCTACAGACATGTTTTGATGTATCTTGGCTTCCAGGGTGGTAGCCTTGGCGGTAGTTGATGATGGTTGTGTTGTAGCTGCTGCCGGGTGCCCTGCCTTCGATGATGGTGATGATTATTGCGTCCAGGATGCACAGGTGGCTGCCGTAGAAAGCGAATAATGTCTAGCTTCCAGAAGTTGAAAGGTGACTGCTCAAGTTGAACAATGGGCAGTTTCTAATAAAATCTTCTAAGTGTTTTAGGTTTTCTTTTGATTTACAGAAAAAGTCTAGGCTTGGTGGCCAGTTCTGTCCATGATGTATGGTGTAACCTATTAGATGATCCCTTATATTGTTGTATAAGGGACAGTCAGTGAGGATATGGATGACATCCCCCTGACTGGCATCATCGCAGGTGCAGAAGCCGTTGTCCCTTTTCCCAATCCTATTTAGGTAGCTGGGAAAATTCCCGTGTCCGGTAAAGCACTGAGTCAAGGTGTATGAAGGTTGAAGGTAGCCGTAGGTTTGTCTCTTGCTAATCGAGGGGAGAAATTTGTATGTCGTTCTTCCTGTTGTAGAGGTATCCCATTCCTTTTGCCATATGTCTAGGCATATGTTGCGTATGTAGGTGGTTGGGATGCGGCTGAAGGCAATGTGCATTTCCGAGCTGGTGGCCAATTTGGCCAACTCATCCGCCCTGTCGTTGCCTGTGATGTTACTGTGTCCTGGTATCCAGTTTATTTTAATGTTCCTGTATTTACTCATGCTGTTGATTAGGTAATTACACTTATGGCCGACTGTTGGTTTCCTTGTGTTATTGCCTATCGTGTTTAGCACGTAGCGGCTATCCGTGTAAATGCTTATATTGCCTTTATATTTTTTCCGTTTCATTGTAATATATGTTAGTGCCCTATACATTGCCCACAGCTCGGACTGATTATTTGAGCAGTGGTTGTGCAATTTGAAGTACTCCTCGTGTTTGGTATTCTCTGTGATCCCATTATAAATTGCGAATGCGGCCCCCGTGCCTTTTTCATTCTTTGCTCCATCCGTGTAAATCTTCCATGTATTTTCGTCATCATCGAGGGGATGGTTGATGTTGAATATATTGTTATTATTTATTGCTGGGTGGCATGAGCATTCCAGTTCTGCATTATAGTTGTCAATGCCATGGTTCTTGATTGCCTTTAGTATTTCTTTACTTTCAGTTGGGTAGCCTTCTTTATTGATTACTTGTTGGATGTCTTCGTCGTTGATGTTATCCAGCTTTATGTTCGATAGGTTCCATGTCCAATTTAGTCCTTTTATTTTAATGTATATTGGCATGTGATTTGCAAGGACCAGTAGGGCGTCTGTTGGGGCCGTCCTATACGCCCCACAGATTCTTATCGCAGAGCCCCTTTGCACGGAGAGTAGTTTTCTTTTATTATACACAATGTTTGCCCGTTTTCCCATATTTGGGCTGCATAGAGCAGGGCCGGTTCAATGGCTCCCTTATATATCAGTGAAGAGTGTTTGGCACTTACTCCCCAAGTATTCCTGGATATCTGATACAGCATGTTTGTTTTTTTCTTAACTTTTGACATATCGTCTCGATATGGCTTCCCCAGTTTAAGGTTGGGTCCATTATGACCCCCAGGTACTTAAGAATCTGGGTAATCTTGATCCCGTGTCCCTCCAAGTAAATGCCAAGATGCCGCTGCAGCTGTTTCCTTCGGGATCTTTTAGTGCAGACTAGTGCCTCACATTTGTCAAAGTTAACAGGAAGTTTATTTCGGATGTTCCATTCGTGGATTCTTTCCAGTATTTGGTTACCCCTCTGCTGGAGGACATCGCAGTTTTGGTGCCTCACCATGAGGAGGGTATCATCTGCAAAGGCTTGCAGCTGGAAGGATTCATCCCTTGCAGTGAGTAAAGGAGGTCGTCGAAGGCCAGGTTCCACAGACCTGGACCGCTCCGTGAGCCTTGTGGGCACCCTCTGTTTACTCCTTTGACAATATTTATTCCCCCATTAACATATCCTACTTTTTTTTCAGCCAGATAGCTTTCTGTTAGATTATAAATATTCTCTGGACAATTTGTTTTTCTTAACCTGTATTTGACCGATGGCCACCATAGGTTGTAAAAGGCCTTTTTATAGTCTATGCTTACTAATAGTGCATGTTGATCTTTTTCCCACGCTTCCTCTATAAATTCAGTTACTTTCTTTATTGCTTTTATCGTGGATCCCCCAGGTCGGAAGCCATACTGATTTTTATTCATTTGATTGTTGGTGGCTAGGTGCCAGTTAATACGGTTGATAAGTAGACCGTCCAAGGTCTGACATGTCCGAGACAGACCATCCATGAAAAATTCCGTGAAAAAATTTCTGATTCGATCCCAGTTATCCAGAGCAGTAGGTCGATTCAAACATACACCGTCATTGAAAATTGAGTTAATAATATCGAAATTAATTTTTTATTACATAATAAAGCAGTCTATTTTACACAAAGCAACAATACAAGTAACAAGTAATTAGCGAAAACAAAGTAATTGTGAATATGTTTTTCGTAAAACGATTTCGTGAAGTCTTCCTGTGCATCTGTTTATTTCAGATAGAAAATACAATACTGGAAAAGGATACGAAATTCGAAGGTAATTGCATTTTCTGTACATTTTTATGAAATCAATATCATCAAGACTTCCCTTTTACAGTATTTTTCATTAAATTTTATTAAAAGTTTTCAGACATGTAAAGGACGAATCGAACATATCACGTAAAGAATCGTGCATAAGTTTCTCAATGCTAAATAGAAATATATATGATAAGGAATATATAAAAACCGGGTTAACATTGCAATACCTGAATCATCATCCAAATATCTCATCAAACGATTTGCATATAAATCTATACACCAACAACAGTCGAATATATTTAAATTCATTCACCAAACAAATATATGCAAATAGTGAATTGCATGTTTTTCCCGAAAACCCAAACAGGAACTCAACGAAAAACTTTGTAATGGATCAACGTAATCAAACAATAATTATGGGGATGGCTTTTGGAAGAAAATCTTGTAAATCTTGTCGCGTTGTCCAAGTTTCATGTGACTGCATTTGCTACGTTGTGAATACGATCTTTAATTTATTTCGGCAGCTGATACTTACTGTATACAAAATTATTTGGAGCGTTATATATTATCCTTTAACTTGTCTGTCAAATATGTTACCATACGAAGAACGAACTTCTTTCTTTTGCATACTACAGGATATTCTTGCAAATATGTACAATAATTTGATTGGAATTTTACAAGCAGTTGGTAATTTTATATGTTACAAAAGCGAATGTAAACGTCCAAACATCTTTAAAAGAATATTTATTAGAATCAAATATAATATAGACAAAATTCGTCAATACCTTTTAAAGAGAAAACCCTTTTAAAAATAATTGATCCTGTATATTGAAAATTTAATATTAAATTTCATTGGCTAACAAATACAGTGTTGCGTAGAATATAAATACGTTTTGCTTAACTAAAATCTCTAATTTCCGAAAAAAAATTTCAATGTATGTTTAATTAATTAAATAAATGAACAAATAAATAAAATAAAATAAAATAACATAAATAAATAAAACATAGTAACAAATACAGGTTTAAGGATTTTTAACAGTAGTATTTTTAGGTTGCCCTATTTCATCATCATATATCATCGTTTTTCAACACTTTGTCTAATTCTTATCTTGACAATTTCATGATGGTACCCGAAAAAGTTTATCATTTTTCAAAATGCATTTTATTGCATTCAAAATTTCAAATTTGCCGGAATCGGAGTAGGACTTTTTGTTTACCGACTTCACCACAGTATGAAACTAAGCAACCAAAATGGCGCCTCCATAAAAACATTGACGTCTTGGCCTTATGTTTATAGATATTGATGAAATGTATGAATAGAAAACGTCATTAGTTGACAGACCATTAGATAAAAAGATCCTGCTAAAACCACAGATTACCGAAAACCGGTTTTGTTGCCATCTCTAGTGTCAACTCATCCCGCTTCGTTTTGGCCACGTGTTAATATAAATTACAGTATCAATGCAAAAGAGACATAGGATAAAAATTAATATTTAATAAAATATATTATTATGTAATTAAATAAATAAAATCGTAAACTGTCCGTAAAAATTTTTATTTGGTAATTTGTTTCTACATAAAAATAATTGGTCAAAATGTGAATACTGTAGTGAGAAACTTTTGTCTATTTTTGGGCTATTCGTGTATATAACAATTCATAAACATCAATGATACGAACTACGAAGTAATGCAATTGACTAACATGACGATTTTATAGTGAAACCATTTATTTTTAATAATTAAAAAGTTTCGAAATGATTTTTAAAATACAAAGACACTTCATTTAAGTCGAATTAATTAATTGATATTTTAATTTGACAATTACATTAGAAAAAAAAAAACGCCACCTGTTATCGAATTTTAAAAAAAATTTTATTTCGTCTGGTCGTTTGCTTGTAGTAATTGTATTTCAGCGACATTTTAAAAATATTTTGATATTTTGCGAAGTTTAAATAGAAGATATTCACGAGTATCTTTCAGGTCGTATATTTTAACATTTTAAATTAAATGTATTTAAGATATTTGAATAATTAAAGCGAAATTTATAGCTCGAATTAATAAGCCTACTTTTAGGCTTAACTCGTTATGATATATTTTTGTATTAACGGATAAGTGAGTTAAACATTAGTAGTTGGTGGTAGGTTTGTTACAGTTTACTGGATTTTTTTCACCTATATAAACCTAAATAGGGTCAATTTCCTATAGAAAGTCATCTTGGGAGCATTGTTCACGTGTTGCATTGCCTTCAATCAATTTATCCATTCTGATATACTTAACTGCTTTCCTTATATGATATCGTTGAAGCATCAACTGAAAACATTGAAAATTTTGCACAGCATGTGCTGAACAGTAGAAATTTTCATATCCAAGTATTTGAGATAATTCACATATCAGATATCTCAACAATGTGTGATTAATGGATTCATCTCAAATATGTTGATAGGGGTAATTCAGTTTATAGAAGAAAAAAAAAGTTTGTAATATTTATCTTTTATTAAAATACATAGTAAAGTCTAAATTAAAATATTTAAAACAAAGATATTATTTTAAGAAACATCAATATTTCATATATATATATATATATATATACATATANCATACATATTTCATATATATATATATCATATATCATATATATATCAATATATTTTTTAAAATTAAATTCCACTCTAGGGAGTCTGCCAAATTTTCTTTTATTAGAGGTTTCCCAGAAAGTGAAGTTTGAGAAACACTAGGTTAATGTATGCCATTGGAGTATTCTTCCAATTTTTCAGAAATTGTTGACTTGCAATTTGAAAAAATTGTATACCTATAAATTTCCACTGTCTTAATCTTGAGAACGGTGTTAGATAGATGAAAATCGAGACGAGATGGAAAATTTGGGTAGTTGGTCCCGATTAACTATATTCGAACTTATAATTTGGACCGGAAGTCACATTATTTCAATTCAAAAATCTTTCCCCGAAAGTAGTTGGATGATCGGAATGATTATATCAAGCCGTGGTGGCTTTCCCCTGTACATCATACTTTTCCGTAATTTGAGGTGGACAACATATGTTTAATTTATTTAATTTAAAATATATTATTAAAAATTGCAGCTGGCATTGTGACGATGTCACAATAAATAATTGCTCGTTTACTTTATCAATGCGCCGTTCTGTAAGGGTCAGGATATATATAGAAATTTGGTGGGGGAAAGTCATGGAATTTAAAGCAATAATATTTCAACAATTTTGGACTCTTGTGCGAACTTATTTCTGAATTTGCTCGTGTTTTATTCTTGTACTTAGCAATTGTTAGAGGATGTGTAAGAATAAAGATCGAAGCGGGACATTTATGTAAATAATCTCTCTTCTTTGGAAAAATTGTATTCCATTAAATTAGAAAAGTCATTACAGTAGAGCCTCGTTTATCCGAAAGTCGGTTATCCGAAAGAATTCCAGTCGGGAAATTTAAATTTTCGCTAGTACTGTGGCACTGCAATCTTTGGCTATATCTTGGGCTACTCCAATATTTTTTATGTTTGTGTATATGTTTTAGCTGGCAGCACTGTTACTTTTATGTGGTGTTTTTCTGGGGACTCTTGTGTCGTGCTGAATCGAACGTTTTTGATACTAGATAACTTCTAAAGTATAAATTTTTTGTTTTTATATTTTTCAATATATTTATTTTGTTTGCAAAAAATAAAAAAAATAGTTTTTAACGATACAATAGCCACGATTATTATTTTAAAAAGTTTACATTAGGCTTAACATAGAAAATTCGATGCAAAGCGACACGCAACGGAGAAAATTTTCAACACGAGATAGGTTAATGTATTTTTCGTATATAATCGGTTATCCGAAAAATAAGTTATCCGAACAACCCCAGTCCCCAATTGATTCGGATAAACGACGCTCTACTGTATTTTAAGACATTTATCACATTATATAGATTTACCTGATTGTTGAATATCTTTGCGCGCGTATTTTTGTATTAGCGAGACTAGAATTTGCTTAGTTTAACAATAATTTATTGATTTACTATATAAAAATCAATTTAACAAAATTATAAACACCTAATATACGATAGTTTTAATATTTAATAATATTTCAACTAAAATATTTCTTAACGTAATTTTCAGTTCTGAAATGATGGCTGGCACTAATGTTAGAGTAGAAGAATTATTTATGAAGCCTTATCAAGGGGATATTCAAAAGAAATTACAAAAAATTCGAAATATTAAAGCATTATTAGAACATAAATACCACTTAGTCAGGGATCGCATTGAAGAAATGATCGAAACTATCAAAATAGAACTATTTCACGATCTTCTCAAAGTTTTAAATTTAAAACGCAAATATTTAGAAGAAATGGAAATGAAAGTTACAGAATTACGTTCGAGTGTAATAGAAGGTAATTCCCAACCTGTACTTAATACTAAAGAAATGGAACTTATCGACTCTCAGATGCTAGGTCTTCTTTCCTTGGAATTCGTCCCAAACGTGTCTAATTCCATATATCATATTGGTTACATCAGGACTACGCCAACCAAACCGGACGATTTAAGCCTTAAGCTCGAGATGCAGAAGTTTGAAATTGGAACATATCTGGAAGCTAAGGTCAAAAGTAAGAAACCATGGCATTTTATGACTTTGAACTCGTTATCCGGATATGCCGAAGATGTCAGCGGAGACAAGATATTACCGAAAATTGTGGACAACAGAGATGGTTCTTATATATTATACTTTAATTTGAATAGCTATTCCAAATATACTATTCAAGTAACACTCTATGATCACCCTATCAAAGATAGTCCCTGTATTGTAGAGACTGAACCAGTTACAATAAATGATAGATACGTGAGGCAAGAAACATTATTACCTGGAAAAAAAGAACATTTACTAGAAGAAACATGGCCAAATTCAAGTTACAAGACATGCCAAAATAAAGAATGTCCTCAATCTCATTCGTCAACATCCTTAACTATATCCTGTCGAAATGATAAAGTTTATATTGACATGAATAATGATAGATTTATTGAATATAAGAATGATGATTGCTCCGTTGATTATCGTGAAGACAATCGTAAAACAGAATGTTCGGATATGAAGTTGAATGATAACGGTAAGAATACATTGTTATTATCGAAATATATGTTGTATGTATAAGAAAGAACGAAAGTGCTTCCTATTATACACACAATCAATTATTTCCCTAATTGGCGCTTAGATCCGTATTTTAATCTTATTATTATGATTTAGGTTTAGAAATATCTCGAATGTGACATTGTGACGTCATGTAGAATGTGGTCTTAAAACAAGACCATACTGTATACAAGAGGTTCCATTCGCGACCCTTGCATGATGCCAGGATAGCATGTCAGCAGATACCACGTAAAACGAAACTCCACGTAAATTTGTACTTTAAGTAGTCAAAGTAGATTGCCTCGACTCTTATGCAACTATTTACGATTAACGGGAAAACGCTAAAACGTGTTTAAAATGCTTTATTTATATTTTTGCTATAATAAATGCTAACTGGTATTTCTTAATATGCAGATGAAAATTTTATTATACTGTATCGAGTATACTACCGGAGAAAAATTCATGCAAAACGGGATATTATTCACCATGGTAAATTTCATTTCAGTAATACTGTGTTAGGAATGTCATAAGCACGACTTGCTGACTTAAGAGAGATTCGCTGGTATTAGGAATGGGTTGACCTAACCATTTGCCAGGGCTATCGAGAGTTTATGGGTTCAGGAGTAGAACGAGCCCCTTTTGTCTCTTAGCGGGCTTCTTTAGTCATTTCTTTTTTAACAAATAATATAAGGTACGTAGAATGTTTACTTTTTTATTTTAAAAAGTCGTGGATTTTATTTTCCGTTTGAAAAAATAATGTTAATTTTGTATGGAAATGAATTACTACGAGTTCCTAAGTTTTTTCCTGGCCGGAAAAATTCTCAGGTCTTTCCCTCTCGACAGCTCTGCCCTTTGACATCTGCGAAAACATTAATCCGCAAGTAACAGTCCTGCGTAAAACAAGACCCTACTGTAAATCATACATTCGCCGCTGATATCGTAATGTTGTTCCTAACGTTTCTCTTTATTGTATAAAATTGAATAACGTTTTACTGTGTAATAGTTAATGTGAACTATTGCGATATCAATCTTATAATCATCGGAATTAAGGAATTGTTCCTTTAATTCAGACGGTTATGAGAGATTGACAGAATCATCGAAGATATTTCTGGATAAAAACAGTATGAAAATGATTTAAATGACAATTTATCACTGTTGAATTCAGAAATTTTCTGAAAAAGAGAAGAGTACAAATAGCTCGATAAAATACGCACTGTACAGATCCGAATAAAAAATCCGAATTGAGACCGATATAGCCGAGAGTATTCTTGAATAATAGTCGAGCGTGACGCATATCATAAACGTTTAGTAGGATACATAACAGGTAAACAAGCACAAGGATATTTTTCAACTATAAATTTTTTGAAACATGTTTGAACAATATGGTATATAGTTACGAAATTTTGTTTTCAAATGATAGTGTTATTTTAATCGTTCAAACAGGCCAATAAATTTCTACAGTTAGAAAACTTAATCTTGAGAATATGTCTCAGATCAGTCGACATACTATGTAAACGACAGCTCATATCACACACTACCAGTTCTGGTAACGTTGAATATATGACGAAATATTTTATTTTATAAATTTGATGACAATCCTCAGTTACATATAACTGAATTCGTGATTATCGCTGTTCATTAAACATTACTTGTATTTTAATAAATAAGCGAAAATATTGTTATAAATTTTATTTTTGTGAGTTTCATGATGAATTTCTTCTTCCAGATGATTATCTTATTCTTAAAGCCAATCTTCTATCTACGGTAGGAGTACGAGATGGCGTCGAGCTTCACTTTCCCATTGGAGTAGCTGTAAATCATAATAACGACACCATTATATGTGATACTGGGCATCATATAATATGGATTGTAAATGGAGACGGAAAACTCAAACAGAAAATTCAGCAAAAGAAAAAAGGTAAAGAATGAATTATTGTTGAATGCGATTATTTTTCTAACATCACATTACGTGGATCGTAGTTTCCGAAATTATGTAGAAAGTGTTTCAGATCTAATTCCATAATCTGTACACTAGATAACGTGATGCTGAAAAATTGAAGTGTAGAATTTATGTAATTGTAGAAATTCTTCCTGTAGTACTTCTAAATTATTACTCTCGCGTTTATAATTTATTTATTTTTTTCAAACTTTGAAGAACAGATATAAATTACGATATTATATCAGAACGTGTTCTATGATAAGCTAATTATTGATATATTCATAATCAAAAATGTAAATGTTCCTATGAATGCAATTCATTTTAAATTCTTATTCGTGTTTTTTTATCTTACAGGAGAACATTTCTTCAGGCCTTCAGCAGTAGTAGTTATGGAAGATGATAGTTTTGTCATAAAGGATAGTATAGGACTTCATTTATATAATAAAGATGGCATTTTTATAAGAAGTATTGGCGAAACAGTACTCCATAGGCCTTTTGGTAAAATAATTTCTTATTTATGCTTACCAAACATAATGCATTATCGCAGTATCTTTAGGTTACAGAGAAGAAACAAAATTCCTGTAAATGAGGTCTTCAAAATTTAATTAAAAATATTAGCAATAAAAATAAATTTTAATGAAGGCGAAATGCAAGAAAGTGGCAAAACGTATTCGAATATGATTGTTTTTTGTCAGAATTTTGATCATTTAGTGAAACGTTTTTGAAACGAGCGAAATATTAAATATATTACGATTAATTATAAAAATATAGATGTTTCACGAAAATGTTGCCGATTGTTAACTTTTAGAAATTATATAGTCAACTAAGATTTGTTTCAATATTTTATTTATTAAATATTACAGACGTTTTTATTAAGTTTGTTTCGTTATTCATTAATTTACAGGTCTTGCAATTACAGAAGACCAGAAGTTGATAACATTAAACGAGACACGGAAATCTGATCTCTTTGTTTTCAACAAAGATGGCGGTGTAGAAAACCGTAATTTATACGAACCATTAATTAAGCGACATGAAAAATCGAAATGTCGATTTTTGGCGTATTACTCTAATGAAGTCGTCGTATCTGATTTAGGTAGGAAGAAATAATACAGAGAATATTTATCGAGATTTTATCTAAATTACTGAATTTTCAGGTTTAAGTATGATGTATAAAACTACTGTGGATGGTAAATTGATCAAAACCTTCGGCACTTTTGGAAATATTGAGGGAACCATGAACGAACCATCTGGCATCGCTTTGGATCCGACAGGAACCATGCTTATTGGCGATAGCAGAAACGATCGTATACAGGTAAGTTATAATTAAATAAACACGATTAACGCAACAGAAACTTTAAACGAATTAACATTACAGGTCTTTGATTGGGAAGGTGAATATATGGGTAAAGTGACTTTCTCTCATCCCATTCGAAGACCGTCTGACATAACTTTGACTAAAGATGGACGTCTGTACGTTCTTAATTACTTGAATCATCACTTAGCAATTTATGCTCTTAAAATAGAGTAATTTTCAAATCTGTTCTTCACAGATTAATCATTGTGAATTTTAAGTATTGAACATATTAAATTGAATTCATACTGTTTATCAGATTTTGAATTCTTTTTCATATTGTATTCTTTAAGTTTCTTACAATGTAATGTACATGTATTGCATTTAATTTCATAAATTAAAACATCTAAATACTTTATTTTAGATTTTCATTTGGTGTAATTACCTTGGCTTTTTAACATACATAATATATGTTAAAAACTACATAATTTCCAAAACATTTCGTTCAAGTGGATGATGGCTAAAAGTATGATGAAGATAACAGCTTTTTTCCTGAAATCTACACAAAGCTTTTTTTACTGGCTAGTTTTAAAAAAGTTGAAATATTTTTCAGGCATGGAACCGTAATATAAAGTGTCTTTCGAAAGAATTTACACCGTTAAAAACTATAGAAATGAGCGTGAATGTAAATTTTTTAAAAGGCTTGTAACTTAATCAAATATTTCGTCTCTATTTTTTCGGTTGAAAATGTATGAAAATTCGAATTTGGCATACGAAAAGTTGTGAAGACCACCATTTCCCCCCAGTGGCGTGCCGTGATATTTAATAAGAGGGAAGCTGTGTTTTTGTAAGAAGCCGACTTCCAGAGGCAATCAGTCAGTGATGGTCTAGGGTCCATTCGTATTCGTTTATTCGTGTCTTCTGTGAGCTTTACTAAAATTATTTAAATCGTCAAAGCCGTTCTTATTCCACACACTAATTTCATTTGAAATTAATAGGCAAGGCCAACAAAACGAATTTTGCATTTCTATGCATCCACAAACCATTTTATATCTTCATAAATTTTATTGTGAAAATGTCGAACAAATTTTTTTGTTGACGTATTTATATTTAATTTAGGCATTGGTCTTTCTCTTTTAATAATGTTTTCTTTTTTATTATATAGTCTCGAGCCAAAACTTTTTTAAAATAAATTTTCAATATTACAATTACATTCTAAATCGCTAGCCATAATAAAAGGCCTAAAATTAAAAATAAAATTATAAAAACTTGTTAAAATAAAATGTGTGATGGATATACTATTATACATACCTGGTAAAAAATATTCAATTGTATGAATATACTTTTAAAGAAAATTATAATTAAATATAGCTTTGTAAAGAAACGTACATAAAAACTACATAAAATATTCTTTACTTTTTAAATCTTAACCACTTAATCAAATAGCTCCCTACGAGTAGAATCAGAGACGGTCCTGCTAGGTGAGCGGAACCAGAGAAAGCTCAGTTAGAGAGTTAGACAGGGAGAGACAGAAAAGGGGGACGAGACAGAGAGATAGAAAAGAATGCAAGAGAAAGAACAAACGAGCACCAGACCAGACGAGTATCAGAGCGAGAGTAGCTCAAGAGAAGACGAGCAAGCATCAATAATAGACTAAGAGTGAGAGTGAAACAGGATCAAGAGACTGACCGACTGTCTGAACAGACGAGATAAGACATCTTGTTTACCTGGTATGTTGTGAGTCGCATAAGTTCGAATACCCTCCGTTAGGCACCCCTTCGTTATATAGTTAGAGATAGGCAAATTTCAAAAAATCGGATTTTATAATTCTGTTCTAAACTTCAGTTTTGTGTTAATAAATTTCCTTAAATTGGTTATATCTGACTCTGCATTCTTCCTCCTGAGAGGCTCATTCCTGGACTTCAGAGTGGCTCTTACCCTCGCGCCTTAATCATTTATTTCGTTTCAATCGGCGGTGTGTCCGATAAAACACACCTGGTGGCAGGACCCTACCTAATAAATCTTTACGGTCCCCGAACCCCACAAAGTGATTTAAGGTTATCGAAGGATCATTCGCAGCATTGTCTAAGTTTATAAATCGCATTTTCGCGTGGCTCCGTGTCCAGGTAGCTGTCACAATCAAAATTTCCAAAATGTCAAAGAATGAAATATCATTTACTACCGATCTACTCAATTCGGAAAAATTAAAATCAATGTCAATTTTTCCGATTAGAAATTGCAGATGGTATTATACACAATATATATATATATACGTAGAAGAATACTAAAATGTTTTCATTTCCGTCTTTTTCCATCACCAGGAACCAAACAGTGTTTACAGAGACGATATAGCATGATATATAATCGATATTTTCTGAAGATAAAATTAATACGATAGTTATTTTAAACTTTTTATCATTTAGAGCTTATAAAAATTTACGTATCGAACTAAATAATAAAGATTTTCCCTTTTCGTTATTTTTCCTTGTTTCTTCTGAATGTAACGCATATATTCAATACTAGCAGACCCCGCCACGCGTTGTTGTGGCTCAAAATGTATCTATTATAAATGTATAACACTTCCCCTGTGGGGGGGAAATTTTTCGAAAAATTTCTTCTTANTTCGATAAACCAGTAAAAACCGTAGACTTCTTTAAATGTATTTTTAATTAATAAATTATCTAACGCACTTAATAAATAAGCAAGTTTAATATAATTACCACTGTTAGATTTAATAGATTCCCCATGTCCCCTAAATGCCAATCCTTGCTTTGATAACATCTATTAATTTAAATATATCTATTAGCAGTAACTATCTCGTTATAATTTTCAATATTTATTTTATACTAGCAGACCCCGCCACGCGTTGTTGTGGCTCAAAATGTATCTATTATAAATTTATAACACTTCCCCGTGGGGGGGGGGAATTTTTCGAAAAATTTCTTCTTAGTGTACATTCTGTTGACGTACCCTACTAAAACGCAATCAAAACGCAAAAACCCGCATCTAAAATAGTATAAATAGAAGCAGAGTTCTTTACGGTAAGCCTTAATCCTAACCATCTCCCTTCAGGGGGGGAAATTGGACACGTATATTATATAAAAACACGTGCGTATTCGAATACAGCGTTGTCTCAAAATTTCAAAGGAATCGGTAGGAACAAACGAACATTATATTTTTATTTATATAATTAGATAGAAAATGATCTGCTTTAGTTCATTTTCACAGAAAAGCATAATGCCTCACAGAAAAGCAAACTTAGGGCGTCGTACTCGTAGCGCCATCTGTTGGA